TGACAGGAATATATCATTGTTTACTCAGTTAAATTTCCTTAAATACCCTTCCCTTATCCCATTAAAATGTAGCACAAATTCATCATCTTCTTCACAAACACAAAAACTCAAAAAAGCTCTGTATTTTTTCACTGCTAAAGAAAAAAAATGTCGAAGGACGTGATTGAAGAAGGACAAGCTCATCATCATGGAAAGGACTATGTTGACCCTCCTCCAGCTCCTCTTCTCGACATGGCTGAGCTTACCAAATGGTCTTTTTACAGAGCTCTTATAGCTGAATTCATCGCCACCCTTCTCTTCCTCTATGTCACCGTTGCTACTGTTATCGGTCACAAGAAACTCAACGCTCTAGACCAATGTGATGGTGTTGGGATTCTTGGAATTGCGTGGGCTTTTGGTGGAATGATCTTTGTCCTTGTTTACTGCACTGCTGGAATTTCTGGTAAGACTACTACTTTCCAATTTTATGTATCCACAATTTTGTACTTTTGAGTTCATGAGTTTAAAATTTTTTAATACAAATATAAAATTTGAAGTGAAATTAGTGGGTTTTTCATGAACTTGTAAGCACAACTGTAGCTCCGTCCCTACCTGGAAATGGGCTGATGTATATAATTCATGGGTCCAACTGAATCTGACGTTTTTGGCCTGAATGATTAATATGTGTCTAAAGAATCACTAAAATTCTAAACTATGGGCTCTAGATCTCTGTAAAAAAAAAAAACTAACAGAAATACATTTTTTTTGATGTTGTTGTTGAAGGTGGTCATATTAACCCGGCGGTGACATTTGGGTTGTTCTTGGCAAGGAAAGTGTCATTGATAAGAGCAGTTGCTTACATAATTGCACAGTCACTTGGTGCTATTTGTGGTGTTGGTTTCGTTAAGGCATTCATGAAGCATTACTACAACACAGAAGGTGGAGGTGCTAACTTTGTGCAACCTGGTTACAACAATGGAACTGCTTTGGGTGCTGAAATTATTGGTACTTTTGTGCTTGTTTACACCGTCTTCTCTGCTACTGACCCTAAAAGAAGCGCTCGTGATTCCCATGTCCCTGTAAGTTACCCTCTCACAACACAAAACTTAGGAATTTTAAAGTTTCAAATTCATGTCTAGTTGTAATTTCCCTTGTTTATGGGTCTAGTAGATCTGTAAATAGACCACAAAATAGTGATTTCAATACTAACTCTTTAAGTAATTAATTTGGATATGAAGGTGTTGGCTCCTCTTCCAATTGGATTTGCTGTTTTCATGGTTCATTTGGCCACCATCCCCATTACTGGAACTGGTATTAACCCAGCAAGGAGCTTTGGAGCTGCAGTTATTTACGGCAACGAAAAAATCTGGGATGACCAAGTAAGTTTTTACTAGTTTACGAGAGATTTAATGTTATTAACGTATATAATAAATATTGCTCATATAAATTGTTGCAGTGGATATTCTGGGTTGGACCCATGGTGGGAGCAATGGCAGCAGCAATATACCATCAGTTTATATTGAGAGCTGGAGCTGTAAAAGCTTTGGGATCATTCCGCAGCAACCAAACCAACTAAACAAGTTATCAACTTTCATTCACAAGTTCAAATTTTTCTGGCTTAATTGTTTGATTTTGTGTATGAGGATTAATTAATTAATGTATGAACCTTTTTTTATTTTGTTCGTTTTGGTACAGTTTCATCTTTAATGTTAGTTTTTGGATGTGTATTTTAATTTGGTATGAGACTAGAGTTGGTGGTCTATTCTCTTTCGAATAAATTTAAAGGTTTCATGTTATTTTAGCACTCAAAATCACCTTATTGGGTATTTGTTATTTTCCACTTGTATAGGTACCCTGTCCACTAAAACTTCCACGAAAGTCTTAATACATAACAACCATTTTATAAAAAAGTAAATTTTTTTAAACTACATGCATTTCATGTCTATCGTATTATAATTATAAAGAGTGAAGAGGTATATATAGAGCGAAATCATACAAGAGCATGTACATCTAAGTAAAATACTAATTATATTAATGTATTAGCACAGAGCCAACTACTTGTAATTAGGTGTTCATCCAAATCTAATATATACTTTATTTTCTATGGAACATTTCCACAAATATTGTTATGAAGGCTAATTTTCTTTTCTTTTGGTGGAAATTGAATAGTGGGCATCTATGTAGTACCCACTTAATGGAATCATTTAAAGAGCTTCTTTCAACCCCTTCAGATATGTTTGAGACCATTATCCACATAGAATAGTGCCACGTGTCTCCCAGATGCTCTTCTATGCTTATGGGTCTCTGTTTGGTGAGTCTGTAAAATTATTGCAGGGGTTGGCATGACAATTGCCTGCATCAACTCCTTTTGACTTGAAGACAAACAATACGACTAAATCAAACCAACGGTAATGAAAAGGTTAAAAATCATACTCCATTCCCTCTCTTTAACTTTTCAATTTCCACACTTTCGAAAACAGGGAAAATCGTTATCAATAAATGGTATTTGCTTCTGTCTCAATTTATACGACTTATTCATTCTATTTTATGTGATATCATTTCCTTTTTTAATAAGTCCAAAAAAGAACATTCACATAACATTTAAATATACGATTCCGCTTTTAACGTTGTTGGTCCCACTAAATCTTATTATGAAGAGAGAAAAAATAAATTTACAATAAAAGATAATTTGGTAAACATTTCAAAGTCTTCATTATATCTTAAACATCGAGTCCGATCAAATATTACATAAAATGAAATGAAAGAAATATTTTTATATTAAGTAACAATTTAACCATAAAATATTTGTTTTCTGATCAGAAATTTCCATCATTCATTTTGGACCACAAGTTTAAGAGTATTTCTTTCTTTCTTAAACTCTATGCTAAGTCAAACTAGTAGATATCATCTGTTACACTTGGTATATTGATGCACCTATAGTAAAAAATTAAAGCCTATATGTCCTTCACTCTAATGAAAGATTAAATAGGAACACATGACACAATCTTATTCGTCGATCGATATTTAATAATTGTCCAATCGATGAATAAAATTATCACACATATATATTCATTAGTATAAATGATATATATATATATATATATATATATATATATATATAT